CCAATCAGAAGATGACAAAAACCATATAGTCTATAATAATTTTAGTTTAATTATACTGTTCTATTTTTTATTTGTTATTCCGAATGTGCCAAATTTGCCATTCAGCTTTATGAATGAATATGCCTGTTGTATTTCCGGCAAAGCGAGCAGAAATTCATAAATGGCCTACTCCCTCAAGTTCTTTATGAAGAACAAAGTCCATGCTTTTCTCTGCTTTCCAGCCATTCTCTTTGCCATGTCCTTTTGTCTTCGTTTTTTATTTTATTTTATTTTTTTGGACCGCCTGCCACAAAGAAAACTATTTTGTCCTCAGAATCCATATTTTTATGAATGGCGCGAAACGTAATGCTTACGTCAGAGTTTGTAAAATCATAGTAAATTCATGTCGTGTGTGACTGCCTCCGTACGATTTTCGGATTAACCCAATCGTGACTTGTGCCAGAGCTCACGACGTTCCGACCTTCAGAATCGCACCGTGTACGCCTGACTTAAGTCTAACAAATATGTGGATCCAAATATCTACAAAAATGAAATGGTGTGTAAATTCAACTTCTATTCCCTTTACACCACTACATAACGTACAGCTCGTGCAACCGGTCCATGGTTTCTAAATTATAATTTTATTTAATTTTTTTACCAAAATCTGTAACGTGGACTTCCTTCTCCTGCGCCATAGATCACGTTCACTAAAACATTTGTACAACACTATGCCTTCATCATGAAGACCCTCATGAAGAGTCACGAGTCGGACACCATGTCCAACCGCATCGTTCACATCAGCGTGCAGCTCTTCAGTAACGAGGAGCTGGCGAGACACGTCACAGAGGAGTGCCAGTTACTGGACATCATGGTCACTGTGCTCCTCTACATGATGGAGACCTGCCTTATCAAGAGCGAACTGCAAGGTAACAAAACAGACTATACTATGCTGCACCGTTTGCAAAGTTACTGGATTGCTGGCTACAAAATGTCTTAATGCCTTCAATCTGTCACAGATGAGGAGAACAATCGTCACGTGGTGGTGAACTGTGGTGAAGCGCTACTGAAGAATAACACCTACTGGCCTTTAGTTAGTGATTTTATTAATATCCTCTCGCACCAAAGTGTGGCCAAGCGCTTCCTGGAGGATCATTCTCTGCTGCTGCTCTGGATGAGTTTCGTCTCCTTTTTCCAAGGTCAATAACTGAGAGAAAATCCTGCACTCATTTTTTGTTTTAAAATTCTGTAGTGCTTTTTTTCCTTCAGTCCTATGAATGGCAAAATGCAAATGAATTAGTGTTTGCTTAATCAAGCAATGAGTTATGAGAGGCTATGCTTTGTTGTAAAATAGTTCCGGCTATTGATATTGTGAATGCACTTAGAATATGGCTTGGTCTTGAACGTCTTTATTAGATGCTAACTACATAGTAAAAAGCATTCAGGACTATTCATTTTAGAAAGGTCATTAAGGCTTGTTGATTAGAATTAAATAACTTATGTTACAGCTGAAACTTGATCTAAACGAGTCAATGATTCACTCTGATGTTATGGATTTCCTCTCTGTGCCTTTTGCTGTGTTAGGGATGAATCTGAATAAGAGAGAGCTGAATGAGCACGTGGAGTTTGAGTCTCAGACGTATTATGCAGCGTTTGCAGCTGAGCTGGAGGCCTGTGCTCAGCCCATGTGGGGTCTCCTGACACACTGCAAAGTCAAAGTGAGGCTACAGTCATCTCTGCATGCATCACACTCCAGCATCTTTTTATTTTTAAAATGCTCTCATTTAGATGCTACATACAGAGTTCTTTTTTTAGCGTTTAATCGTGTATTATTGCAGGTCTTCTAGAATTATTGTCGTAGTACAGTAGGTGCTTGTATCTTGGTTGCTTTTAGGGGCCATTCACACAGAACACATTTTTGCATTAAAGGGGTCATCGGATGCAAAATGCATTTTTACATGTTGTTTGAACATAAATGTGTGTTGACGGTGTGTGCGCACAACGACCCTATAATGATAAAGATCCACCCAATGTTTTTTTTACAATCTCCTAAAATCATTACCCCTTTCTCATATCAAGCCATTCTCAGATGCTTGTCAGTGTGAAGTCACACAGACTTAGGCCCCTCCCACGATAGTTTGATTGACAGTAGCGTTTTACCTTAGACCCGCCCTGAGTGAGCTGTCATCAGTCCGCCATTGTTTCGATGCCAGAGCGGTTGTAGACAAGAATGACTCCTAAGCGATTGAGGTGTTTTGTTGTTGGATGTAATAATGAACATAGCAGTCGTCATTTACTCCCGACATCTGAGCCGCTGAAGACGCAGTGGATTACATTTGTTTTTGAAGGGAATGCATCCTCCGATCTACCTAAATATGTCTATCTTTGCGCGAATTATTTGTGTTAGCAAGTTCCGCGGCTAAAGTAAACAGTCTTATGAGAACGGCTCGTCACCCCATGGAAGAGAGGGTCAGCAGAGCTCATTAGCATTTAAAGAGACATGCACCGAAACGGCTTGCTCTGAAAAGAGCTGTTTTTGGCAAGGTAAAAAGGGTGTTGTTTTACACTACCATTGGGAAATTTTAACCAAAGTATGTTATAGACTTTTCATTAATACCCTAAAGAATCATATCAACTTGTGGGAAATGGGCATCCGATGACCTCTTTAAAAAATGCAAGCTGTAGAAAGTGACCACTGAGTCGTGCGCAAGGTGCTGCAAAACGCATGAAACACTTGTTCAGCGATCAAACGCATCCGTCTAGTGCAAAACATCTTGTGTAATATAACTTGTTTGTTTGCTTGCTTGCTGGTTTTTATTGTATTTGTTATACTTGCATTGCTTTTGCCATAAAAATAGCCTAAGATGCTGACATGGCATTAAATAAACGTATACTACTACTACTCTGTCTAGTGCATGTTTACATTAAAAAAAATATGGAAAAGCAGCGCAGTGGAATTCATAATCGCATTCTGTGTGAACAGCCCCTTGTTAGAGGTTTTAAAGAGGCTTGTGTATGAACTAAACATGTTGTGTATTGTCAGGAAACCCAAGAGTACACTAAAACAGTGGTGCGCTACTGTCTGGAAACTCTTCAGATGTGGTTTGATGCCATTGGGTTTGTAGATGAGGTACAGTCTTGATGTTCACACTGTCAGATTGTGTCTTGATAAAGTGGAACCAGTGAGTAACTCCCCTCTCCCCCCCTTTTTCTCTCGGTCACAGCCTGCCCTCAACCAGCTGACCTTTCATTTACCTCTCCATAGATACTATGCCATGTTCCTCAGCAAGGTGAGCTTGACACACAGTCTCACACACTGCAGAAGTGGTGTTCCTGAATCGGTCTGTGTTTTTGAACAAATCGGTTGAGTGAATAATTCAGCATCTTACTCAAAGACAGCCATTTGTCACTCCTACTTGTAAAACTGAGTCATTAAAAAATCAGTGACAGTTAATCAATGATATATTGATCTTTTACTCTCAGCGAAGAGCTGCTCCAGAATCAGATTTTAAATGGGGTCCAGCAATTGGTCTGTTTGAAGCCTTTTTTTATTTTTATTTTTTAGCATGATTATAAACTGATCTGTTTTTCGTTGTTTTGCAGGGAGTGAGGTGTCAAGGTCTGGATTTAGACCGTTTGCTTCCTGATCAGGAGATGCTTATGAAGATCATGGTTCACCCTCTTCAGATACAGGTAATACACAATAAAGGGGAATAAAGAGATTAATACGAGAACAATGAACCAACGTCAAAGGCCAGACAAATTCTTCTGGTTGTCAGTTACCAGTGCTGTCCAGACTACACATATAATTTAATTAATATAATAATAAATAATTTATGCATTTAGCAGACGCTTTTATCCAAAGCGAGTTAGTGCATTCAGGCTATACATTTTTTTTACCAGTATGTGTGTTCCCTTGGAATCGAACCCAAGACCTTTTGCGCTGCTAACGCAATGCTCTACCACTGAGCCACAGGAACATATCTCATAAAAGGAGCAGATATTTGTGTGTGGGACAGATCAAAATCACTGAAAGTCTTCCCCACTATGGAGGACTGAGAGTGACAACTAAAATGAAGTTATTTTTGGAACATGACTGTGTAAAGCACATGCACTTGTGTTGTATAGAAATAACCTGTACAATAACCTGCAGAACACGTAAAACACAAAAAGATATATTTAATGGATGAAAGACAATCCTATGAATTAGGACTCCCCAGAGCTGTATACGAGTTCTGCCCTCTGATGCTATTTATGATGTAATGGTGTGCTTCTGATTTGGATCTAGATGCTAAAATGTTACAGCCATGCACAAGGCTTCATTTTGCCAGATAGTGTATTAATGCTGCTGAAGCAGAGGGCATTGTGTTGTGTAATGTTGCAGCCGTTTGTCGTAAATCTTCGCTGATGTCTCGTGTTTCACTTCTGGCATGTGACAGTGTTGTGGAGCTAATGCCACAGTGTGTGATAAGCAGATGGGACCCATGTGTTGATCTCTGTGTGTGTGTGTGTGTGTGTGTGTGTGTGTGTGTGTGTGTGTGTGATTTTGTGCAGGCTAGCCTGTCTGAGATCCATAGTAATATGTGGGTGAGAAATGGGCTGCAGATTAAAGGTCAGGCCATGACTTATGTGCAGTCTCACTTCTGTAACTCCATGATTGACCCGGACATCTACCGCACAAGGCTTCATTTTGCCAGACAGTGTATTAATGCTGCTGAAGCAGAGGGCATTGTGTTGTGTAATGTTGCAGCCGTTTGTCGTAAATCTTCGCTGATGTCTCGTGTTTCACTTCTGGCATGTGACAGTGTTGTGGAGCTAATGCCACAGTGTGTGATAAGCAGATGCGACCCATGTGTTGATCTCTGTGTGTGTGTGTGTGTGTGTGTGATTTTGTGCAGGCTAGCCTGTCTGAGATCCATAGTAATATGTGGGTGAGAAATGGGCTGCAGATTAAAGGTCAGGCCATGACTTATGTGCAGTCTCACTTCTGTAACTCCATGATTGACCCGGACATCTACCTCCTGCAGGTAACCTGCTGACGCTCTCGCTCGCTCACCTGACACTTCTGTACTGAAATAGATGTTCATCCAGGGTCCAAAATTATTTGCCACATCTGATTTAATTTTGATTATTTGGCACGTCATGCAATTATTTTGATGTAATCAATTGGCAGCCCTAATTATTTAGTATTTGCACCACTTTGTTCATATGTCAAAGCCATTTTGCCATTTTTGATTTTGTTTTGTTTGGTTTTATAAAAAGAAATGCAAAGGTCATTGTGTCACTTACAGCATCAAAACCGAGATATACATTTTTTTTTTCAGACAGCATGATTGTGTTTCTCATATTTCCATTTTCATGGCTTAATAATGTGAGGAATATTCCTTTTTCCGTAAACCTTAATTTTTTTTTATAATTCATTTAATAATTAAAGGTTAATTTTCCTTTGAGGTAAAAGTTGTTTCTAAGGCACACAGGAAACAGCAGCGGATTTTCTTCAGTAGACCGTTTGATTTAATAATTACTTCATTCATTGAGGGTTAAGGCAGTCGTTACAGACGTTATAGATATATAGTTATCTTCAAGAATCGGCTAAAACACATCTCTTCCATCTTTACTTGACCCTTTAACTCTAGCACTCTATTCTAATTCTATTCTTTAACAAAAAAAGACTTGCGCCCTTTTAGACTTGTGCTCTATTCATTTACTAACTGCGTGTTTTCTTAAAAAACAAACAAAAGAAAACGAACACTAGCTTCTCTATTTTTTTGTATTCTATCTATTTGTTTTCTTTTAATTTATTATGCAAAAAAAAGGCCTCTAACAGTAGGTTGCTCTATTCTATCTGTTTTCTTTTTATTTATTAAATAATCATACAAAAAAACCTTGCTACGTGTACTGCATTATAGCACTTGCATATTGCTCTTTTGCTGATTTTGATTGCTTCCATTGTCCTCATTTGCTAAATGACAAAATGTAAATGTTATAGTTTGTTTTTAACCATTACTGGCTCTTTGAGCCAAAAGCCCATTGCTAATATTTAACTGAGTGTTAATGGATCCTGAATGTTTCCTCCTGAGACATTAGTAATTTATCTTAAAGGGTTAGTTCACCCAAAAATACAGAGTATGTATCCAAGAGCTTTCTGACCCTGCAAGGGTACAACTTGATCAAGGCACAGAAAGGTACCAAGAACGTTGACAAAATTGTCCATGTGACATCAGTGATTTTACGAAGCTACAAGAATACTTTGTGTGTGCAAAGAAAACTATTTTCTATTTTTATTTTTCAACAATTCCTCTCCTCCACCATCCGCGGCCATTAATGAGAGTACCGTGATGCATATTTTTGTTTTCTTTAACCACTGTTGTCACATGGACTATTTTAACGATGCCATTGTTTCTGGGCCTGGGAACATTTCGGTTCACTTGCTATCTCTAGAGGGTCACAAAGCTCTTGGATTTCATCAAAAACATCTTAGGTTTTACAGATTTGATTTTCGTTTTTGGGTGAACTATCCCTTTAAGCTTAGTCATTAGGCTGCCGTTTTCAATAGAAATTTGATTGACTTATTTCAGTCTTATTTTTGGTCTTCAGGTGTGTGCGTCTAGACTGGATCCAGATTACTTCATTTCCTCAGTGTTTGAGAGGTGCGACAACGTCTCTGTCTTGGTTTGTGTGCTCACCCTCAGCGATGGCTCCTAAAAGCTTTGTGTTTGCGTCAGGTTCAAGGTGGTGGATTTGCTGACGATGGCGTCTCAGCATCAGAACGCAGTGCTGGACTCGGAGCAGGAGAGACCCATGCTGGAGGGGGCGCTGACCTTCCTGGTCATCCTGTGCAGTCTCAGAGTACACTTAGGTGCATATCTTCTCCATCGCAATAATGCTGACCAAATGCAGCTCAGTAATGACATCAACCAGAAGATTTATTAATAAAATATGCTACTTCTGATCAGTGAATCTAAGGCTTCTTACAGCTTTGGAATATACGATTACGTTCACTTCTACATGAGAGCTATTAAAAGCAATGGGACTCGCACCTGCGTTTTGAAAGCGTGTTCTATACACGTTCTGTGTGAATCGAAAGCTAGCTGACTTTCTCGTCATGCAGTGTGACCGCACAAGCTTGTCTCATGTGTAAACTCAGAGACTCGTGTCTTTCTCTCTTTGTGTGTCATTGCAGGAATGTCTGATGATGAGATTTTGAGAGCAGAGATGGTGTCGCAGTTGTGTATGAATGATCGTACCCACAGCTCCCTGCTAGATCTTGTATCCTTCCACCATGAAAACATGGTGCACTCACAGGAAGTTCAAGAAGTACTCTGCTTTGATTGTGTTTTTGCAAGCAATGGTACATCTTTGCAAATTGTACTTGGTTTTGTATCATGAGATTCAAATGATCTTAACTGAGTGTTAATGGATCCTGAATGTTTCCTCCTGAGACATTAGTAATTTATCTTAAAGGGTTAGTTCACCCAAAAATACAGAGTATGTATCCAAGAGCTTTCTGACCCTGCAAGGGTACAACTTGATCAAGGCACAGAAAGGTACCAAGAACGTTGACAAAATTGTCCATGTGACATCAGTGATTTTACGAAGCTACAAGAATACTTTGTGTGTACAAAGAAAACTATTTTCTATTTTTATTTTTCAACAATTCCTCTCCTCCACCATCCGCGGCCATTAATGAGAGTACCGTGATGCATATTTTTGTTTTCTTTAACCACTGTTGTCACATGGACTATTTTAACGATGCCATTGTTTCTGGGCCTGGGAACATTTCGGTTCACTTGCTATCTCTAGAGGGTCACAAAGCTCTTGGATTTCATCAAAAACATCTTAATTTGTGTTCCGAAGATGAACAGAGGTTTTACAGATTTGATTTTCGTTTTTGGGTGAACTATCCCTTTAAGCTTAGTCATTAGGCTGCCGTTTTCAATAGAAATTTGATTGACTTATTTCAGTCTTATTTTTGGTCTTCAGGTGTGTGCGTCTAGACTGGATCCAGATTACTTCATTTCCTCAGTGTTTGAGAGGTGCGACAACGTCTCTGTCTTGGTTTGTGTGCTCACCCTCAGCGATGGCTCCTAAAAGCTTTGTGTTTGCGTCAGGTTCAAGGTGGTGGATTTGCTGACGATGGCGTCTCAGCATCAGAACGCAGTGCTGGACTCGGAGCAGGAGAGACCCATGCTGGAGGGGGCGCTGACCTTCCTGGTCATCCTGTGCAGTCTCAGAGTACACTTAGGTGCATATCTTCTCCATCGCAATAATGCTGACCAAATGCAGCTCAGTAATGACATCAACCAGAAGATTTATTAATAAAATATGCTACTTCTGATCAGTGAATCTAAGGCTTCTTACAGCTTTGGAATATACGATTACGTTCACTTCTACATGAGAGCTATTAAAAGCAATGGGACTCGCACCTGCGTTTTGAAAGCGTGTTCTATACACGTTCTGTGTGAATCGAAAGCTAGCTGACTTTCTCGTCATGCAGTGTGACCGCACAAGCTTGTCTCATGTGTAAACTCAGAGACTCGTGTCTTTCTCTCTTTGTGTGTCATTGCAGGAATGTCTGATGATGAGATTTTGAGAGCAGAGATGGTGTCGCAGTTGTGTATGAATGATCGTACCCACAGCTCCCTGCTAGATCTTGTATCCTTCCACCATGAAAACATGGTGCACTCACAGGAAGTTCAAGAAGTACTCTGCTTTGATTGTGTTTTTGCAAGCAATGGTACATCTTTGCAAATTGTACTTGGTTTTGTATCATGAGATTCAAATGATCTTTCCCCCCCTCTCACTCTTTCAGTTAAATTAAATTGTGAAAAATCCAGAAAGAACCCCAGTCCAAAAAGAGACACTTGATCAAAATCGAGCACACGAATCATAATATAATGCAGCTATGTGAAGCATAAAGCATGCAAGTACAAACATCTGAAAGATGTGCTGTTGCTGATTTCGCATGTCAAAGTGGCGTTTCATAAATACAAAAAGTGGTTTCTAAATGGCCAGAGAAAGTGGATGACTTAAATGGTGACACATATTTTCACAGCCACACAGGCCTTCCTGTATAGCTAATGTTAAATTGTTTAATATCAGTCACATTACTGACCTCTACTGATCCAACCCTTACAAAGATCTGAGATGACCGAACACCTGAGAAGAGATTATGCCAACCCCCCAGAAGACCTCAGATGGTGCTAACCCTTGTACAGCATATAAAACTACCAAATTTTGCTTAATCGCAACATATAATCATTGCGGTTAATAGGGTTAGAAGTCTGTTTTAGTCACTCCGCCTCACGTCGTACTTAACTACGCCCCTTAGCTGTTATGAATTCACTGTAAACCACGGCTTATTGCTTTATTTGATTGTGTCATTTGTAACTAAAGGCATGCTTTTTACTGTACATTTCTGCCATAGTCGCCACTAATAACCTACTCCTAAATATAATGCAGAAACTTCAAATTTTCTGTAAAGCTGCTTTGCAAAGATTGGTATCGTGAAAAGCGCTATACAAATAAACTTGAATTGAATTGAACCTCTTTTTGGACTTAAATCAAGTATTTTGATGGCATTAGTTGGAGTTTGATGCTTGTCCTTGACTGTAGCTGTAGATCCCGGAGAATCCCAACCCTAAGAGCGGCGTGGTGCCAGGCAGCTGTAGTTTTGAGGAGATGCTGTCTGCTGTAGCTGATTTCAAAGCCCCGGTGTTTGAGCCTGGAGGATCCATGCAGCAGGGCATGTACACGCCTAAAGGTGACGCATCTTATTGTTTCGCCACGTAGACTATGATGGGCTGTTTTTCTGTATATTCACTGCTTTGTTTGAGATGTTGTGTGTACCTCTCATTACCTGCAGATGGCAATGTGACTCTATGATTGTGCTGTTCGACACATTTCTCTGCTTTAGGACAGAAGCATCTGCTCTCTAGCAATAGTTGTGTCTTTTGTTTGTGTTGCCTGTTGCAGAACGTGACCGAACAGATTTCTGTACATTTAAAATTCAGCTCTAATTTAATTTTTAAGTTAAAAAAAAAAATATATATATAATAATAATTCTAAATAAGTCTTTTAAGCTCACCAAGGCTGCATTTATTTGATCAAAATTTAGTAAAAAAATATTATTAAAACGTATTAATTGACGTTTTATTATATATATTTTTTTAAAAGTGTATTTTAAAATGTAATTCATTCATGCAGTGTCAAAGATTATTTGTTTTAGCTGCATTTACTCCAGTCTTCAATGTTGCATGATCGATCAGAAATCGTTCTTTTATGTTGATTAGACAAACAAATTGTATTTATTGACGTGTATTTCATAGTCTGGTCACTGTGACCAATGACACGAGTTTAGGTAACACGCCAACTAAATATCAGGATATTTCATGGTTGATCCATTCATTCAAAAAATTTAATCAAGAGTTATACAGTGTTTAAACGATGAGTTTATACAGGTGTTCTACTCCTTTTCTAAAACAGTTTTTATGTATGCTTATTGCTTATTGACTGTATTGTGGTCATTAAGCTTATTGCTCAGCTCTCGCCACATGGTGGCAGACTGAGGCTGTTTCAAATCTATTCTTTATTTTTTCATAACTAACACTCTGTGTGTGTGTGTGTGTGTGTGTGTGTGTGTGTGTTTTCCAGCGGAAGTCTGGGAGAAAGAGTTTGACCCTATAATGGTGATTCTACGCACCGTGTACCGCAGAGACGTGCAGTCGGCCATGGATCGATACGCAGCATTGTGAGTCTCTGAAATCCTCCAGACCTCCTCATTTTAACATTCACTTTATTATTTAAACACTATGCACCGTCTGTTTCACTTCATTTTGTGCAAATCGAGATTCCTTAAGGCATAGTTTATAAATGCACGCAAATCCGGCACAGTTTATACAGCACGTATATTCTGTGAATGTTTTGAATTTTTGTAAATTTTAGGGCAGCGATTTTCCTGTGACTAGATAAGAAATAAATGGACTATATGGAATATAGTAACGCTGGTAAACAACTGCTGTAAAACATTCAGTCTGAGGTGGAGCCTCTCTGAGATGTGCTCATTGATCATCCTGAAACCAAACTGAGAGAAGAACTCGCCTATGGAGCTGAAAATTGCTGGATTTTGTGTGCTGTTGACCTTGAGTTTGAGGGTCGCTCTGTGATAGAGGGAATTATCTTCAGGGTCACTACTTTTCTTGCTCTGAGAAAGGTGTTCGTGGAGGGACTTACACCTGAAATGGGTTTTCCCAATTAGTCATGTCACGAAGAATCAGTGCATCACACCTCAAATACAGATTCCCTCTCCAACCACAGCCTTTACACACATGACCTAATTTCCTGTTCATCTCTGCCACATGAGGATTTTCCATATGCATGGCAGTAAAAAAAAAAAGTGATTCCAGAGTTTATTGTATTCTATTGAATAATCCTCTTCTGATATTTATTTGTTTATTTTATTTGTTATATTTTACATATTTAGCCATTTTGCCTCAAGCTTGTATTTTTTTTTTTTTAAATCAACGTAAAACTGAAATTGATATTCATAATACTTTTTCCCTGTGTCTTTCAATTTGATTACACATAACTTAATTTCTGAACTTATTTGCGTTGTTTTCTTTGTATGTATGGTTACTTGGGTTGTTACGGACATCTGGTGAAAATTTCATGTCAACAGCACCTTTAGAAATATATTTACTGAGAAAAATGGTGACGTGTTCAATACTTGCTTTACCCGCTATATGTATGTGTGTGTGTGTGTGTGTGCACTATTTATTTATTTATTTATTTACAAATATGGAATGTTGGAAAAAATGCAAAGATAAGCTACTCTTGCCAGTAGGTGGCAGCAAGTCTTAATGAAGTCTTAATGAGTGAGTTATTGAGGCATTCATTCAAAAGATTCCGGCTGATTCATTCAAGAATTAAACGAATGGCTTTATGAATGGACCACTGAATCAATGACTCAAATGATTAATTCAAAAACGTTGAATCATTCAGTAAGAAAACACCGCTGTGTCGTGCAGAGATGCGCGACTGTTTTGACTGTTTTGCTGCGATTTTTGTTTTGAACTATTTTCGTTAACCAAATTGAGCAAAAACGGTCAACATTGACAATATTGTACTAAAATGTATATTAACTACTCGTTTGAACTCTTGTATAAAATAAATGTCAAATTTGCCATCGTGGTTTTCAGGGAAAACTTCAGTCTCTTGGTCATATCATGTTGCTTAACTAGGGTATTTGTTACAAATATAAAAACTAAGTTACATTTTTACCGTTTCTTATGTGTGCAGTTGCGTTCATTTGTTTTGATTTCTCCACAAGATTGTTTCACACACAGACAGACTGCATGAGCCTCAACTGGCGCGACCTTGTTACTGTTGATTAGCCATGATCAATTATTAGGGCTAGGTTTCACAATTCGATTCGATTCTCATTCACAAGCTTTCGATTCGATTTCGATTCAGTATCGATTATTTTGGATATGTATCAGGTACAGTACATGCCAAATTTTCTCAAGGAAAAAAAAATATCTCGACTAATGCTGTAAAATATACATGAGAGTCAGTTGGTACTACATTAAAATATTGAAGGTTAAAATTGACTGATTTGTGCTGTACAACTGCTTAAATGACACTTAATTAAGTTTTTATAATAATTAAATTACAATTACTTCAGTTAAAGGGGTCCTATTATGCTCTTTTACAAAGTCTTGATTTTGTTTTGGTGGTGTACTAGAACATGCTCTCATGCTTGGTGGTTCGAAAAACACATTATTTTTTTAGGTATTACAATACCTAAAATCACGTCTCGCACACTTAAATGCCCTTTGTATGGAACATATACTCTCCCTTCAAACTGGAATCATGGAGGAATATCCGGTAATGTCCCCTTCGCAGGGCACTTACAGTCAAATATAGCAAACGTATGAAGCAATAAGAGAAACATACAAAATGTGCAGAGCGGGGGTACGCGAGGACTGGAATTGAGAACCGCTGTTCTAGACATGCCAAAAATTTGAGGCTACAGCGCAGCTGCTCTTCTTGGTTTTCTCTGACGCACTAACTCTGCAGCAGCACTTCTTCTTCATCGTCTCGTCTGATGCACTCACTCAACCAAGCGTTCTAACCACAGCCTCGCCCCTCCCCACCCCCCAACCATTCACATTTCTGTAGGCGTGTAGGCAATTATTTGTAATGATATTCTGATGAGCCGCTTTGTGACATCACCAAACGCTGTAGTCCAAACGAGCCGTTTGCTGTAGTTCTTGAAAATTGATTTAAAAAAAAAACTAAATATCTCCCTTTGGAGTGGACTTTGAGATTTTGTAACTTTCTAGATATTTTTTTTATGCCCAAACATACACGCTACACACTGACTAAAATTAAAAAAGTGAAAAAGCATAATAGGACCCCTTTAAATTTTTTAAATATACACATTTCAATAGTGGCTGCCATAATAACTTGATGGATTTATTCAAACATAAAACATTAAAGAATGGTAAACAATTATAATGAATGTTATATGGTGCATATATTTAGCAAAATTATCCTCTCTAAAGTTTAGTTTTCTGGCTGACTGAGTTTATGGTCACCGAATATGTTTTTCTGAGGTAAATGTGATGTTACGTGACATTGTTTACAAGCCGTCATATTGACGTCTTTGCGCAGCTGAAACACTGATTGAGCAATTACATGAGACAGGATACGGATTGTAAAGTTGTACTCTTTCTTTTAACTTGCCTTCGGATGTTTAGTCATGTTTATTTTGTGCTGAAACTGGTATTAATGTGGAGGAGATGATCAGTTCACGTGCGCCTCTGTTGAACTGAGGTGCTTCAGCGATCTGTCACTCATCATTAAACCGCACCAAAACGGCATTTATTGTTTGAATACTGCAATACAATGGACATAAATTGAAATCTGAGACTTTTTCATATTAAAAGTATCAACGCACAATGCTTATTGCATTTTATTGGATGGGAAGTGCGCTTCAATATTCCATCCATTGACTGAAAACAGGCTAGACATCGATTCTTGGGATTTAAGAATCGATATCGTTCCGTAAAAATGAGAATCGATTAAAATCAAGATATCGATATTTTTTTTTTACCCAACACTGTCAATTATCATTTAAACCAAATATAATAAAATCTGAGTCATTCTCGCCAAAATTGTAATTAATACGGTCGGGCAAGTAAAATGCCCTTTCACTTGCCCCTTCAAAAAATCTATTTGTCCCACACAAGCATTAATGTCGAGCTCTGTTACTGTAGGCTATACAACATTCATGTGTTAATGTCAAGCCCTGGCATAATGACAGTCATGACCTTAGTAATGACGGCTAAAATAGAAGTTATTTGTCTTTGTCATCTTTACTTTAAAAGCGTATTCCGGTCTCCGTAAACTCAGCGGCCTGGTTAAATGATAGTTTTGCAATAGCTGCAAAATCAACATGAAATCCGTAAGTGTTAGAAAGAAAGAAAGATGTCATGTGCTGTAAGTGGTTTTCAGTGGAACATGCTGTATATGTTCATGTCAGTTTGTGAATGTTTTGGTTGTGCTTGTGTCCGGCCGCTGGATGATGGATTACCTGTCAAGAGGGCTATATATTTTATATCCCTCGTTCCTTTCGATGCTAATGGAGTCGGTGATGTCTTTAAAGCAGGGCAGCTGTGTTCAAGTCTGATAAAGCTAGAGCAACTTTTGTTGTTTGCAGTTGTTGTGTGTGTTTGAATTTGATCAGCGGCATTCATGTCTTCTGTGGCTTTACCTCCATAATATCAGCTGTGCATTGTAACATGGTTTATACATGTCTGTACTTTGACTAATATAACAATTCTTAGTCTCTAATTTTGTGAATCACTGGAATCATACACTTACAAAGTGTGTCATACTGTACTTTACATCCTTAAACACAATATGGATCAAAAGCCCAAACATATTGGGAATGTACTGGTCAACCTTTTCCGTATAATGGGAAGTGAATGCGGACTCGTCTTTGTTGAATTCTAAGTTGACAAAAGCAAATTTGCTTGATGTTTACCTGCACAGTAGTTTTTAAGTAAAGGTTAACATCAATGTAAAATGTTGATGTTACTGATGTCTCAAAAAATTTGACATCTACCGAAGAGGTCAGTGAGTAAGGCCTTCAATTTGGGTCTTTTCCTCGCACAAGGTATTGTATGACTTCAGAAGACAAGTTATGGACAAGGTTTATAATTCCTTGATGGTGCTGGCATTTTGGAGATCATTTACATCACATTGAAAAGAGCAGCTAGGACAGTCTGCTAAATATCTCCTTTTGTATTCTATGAAAAAAAATGTGTGCAGCAGGCGCAATGATATTACGCAGCGCCTGAAAATAGTCCCCAGCTAGGTAACTGCGTAATATCATTGCGCCTGCTGCACCCATGGTACGGCAGCAAAGTTCCTTGATTATTACGCCGGAATGAGAGTATAGTTCCTAGTAGGGCTGTGAGATTTGGGCGAAAATATCAAAATGCGAATTTATTTATTTTTTATTTGCAAAGTCGAGCTTCAGCTCAGTATTGTCAATAATGTGCAGCACAGTATGGGTATCATTACCCTGCTGAAAAAAACAATAGAAACCATCACAGAAATTCTTATAGTTTCCATTAAACCGTTACAAAATTCCTTTTTGTTTTGGGCATTATTCCAAAAGGAATTACTGTTGTTCTATTGGTTGCCATCTGCCAGATTACATCCCACCAATACAATCCATCAAATAGACACCATTATAGTTTACATTAAAACCAAACAAATTCCCATTATAACCCTGAAATCCATTAAATGTTTTGTGTTTTGGGAGGGGGTCTATTTTTTTTTGTTTTTTGTTTTTTTTTCAGCAGGCAAGATTATAATGGTATAACTACTTTTACAGAATTAACTTAATTACTGAATTTCGCTGAATTTTATAAATGAAGAACTGCATTTCTTAATTACTGAATTTCGCTTTTTTTATAAATGAAGAACTGCATTTCTTAAGTCAATTATTAAAGTATTACATATGTTACATAGGCTGATTTATTCATTTTTAAGTATTTGGGATTTTAAGAACAAGTGGAAAATGTGCTGAATGTTTCATTTCATCCAAGTGAAATTAGCAAGCAGTTAGACTGAATTTACATTCGTTTTAAACACTGAGTCAGGCGCGAGTCGACACAGGTTGCGTGTGTGTGTGTGTGTCAAGCCTCGTCCATACTGCCAGATGCGCTCGTGGAGACTTGCGGGGCCGCGCGAGTATAAACGAGCATTACGAGACAGGCTGCATGAGTGTGGCAAGCATGAACGGCTCGTCCGTGACGCGGGATTCGCGCCGCGTGGGGCCGAGAGGAGCGAGTATGAGAAGCATTCACAGACACAGGCTGTGTGTGCGCTCTTCTGAATTGGGAATAGCCAACATGCATTATAAACTTATTTCAAATTAATCTGTTGGGGAGATAAAATGTGTAAGATAACGTTCACGTACTAACAAAAGCATCTAAGAATGTATCTTTTATTCTCCAGTACTGAAAACAGAACCGATAAGGGAGCTCTTGATATGCGCTGTGACGCAGCTCTTGCAAATTACCTTTTTTGTTCGCTGTCTGTCATTTCGAAGCTGAAGTTGCATACGTTTTTTTTTTGTTTTATTTTGCCTAACTATCGATCTGACCCACTCGGTCTCTCTCCCGTCCCACTTTTTTTTTTAATGGTGGGTGTTTACGCAGTTGGCTAGAGCAGTGCTGATTGGGGAGAACGGAGGTGCGCTTGCTCTTGCCCAGGACAAGTAAGACTGCAACTCAAGGCTGGCAGTCATGCATATCCTCTGGAACAGAGTAGTATCGCGTCCACATCGCAGGCTTTGCGATTAGCAAATCGCAACGTCTCAAATCGCGATTTCGATTTGGATTCGAAAACGATAAAACTCAACTGTTTAACTCTAGAGAGTTGGAAAATGAGCCTATTTTCAAAAATAGTGGAGTGTTCCTTTAATGTTGCGTTTCAGGATTACACTTAAAAATACCCAAAATTATTTGTTTTATAATTTGATTTTTTTTAACATTAGTATGGAAACTATGCTAAAGCCATTTGCATTGTTTAATGATTGTCTAATAAGTACTTTTGCCTTTTGCAGTTTGAAACAGTCAGGCGTTCATACGGGGAACCCCTGGCCGCCCTATAAGGAGAGGACCCCTCTGCACCCCTGCTATAAAGGACTGGTGCGCCTTCTGCACTGCAAAACACTACATATCGTCATCTTTACACTGCTGTACAAGGTGAAACTTATCACTTATCATTTTTCATTTTAAATGCAGATGTCTGGTCATCTAGTAGAAGTAAATAAATGGTTTTCCCATTGTCTTTTCACCTTTGTTAACTTTTTTTTTATGTTTGTTTAGATCTGGATGGATCATCAGAACATGT